TACATGGGATTATTCTCCAGGTATGTTGATGGATCGTATCCCCCGTCCTCCACCAGTTTTTTGAGGAAGGGATGATAAAGAAAGTTTCAAAACCCTGACTTGATCTTGGGTTCGTCAAGGTCAGCTAGTGTTGCAGCATTGATTGCTTCCACGTGTGTCCTCTATGCAATTGTTCCACTGCTCTAACTATCACAGGATGTGTGGCGAAGATTACAGACTGCATTATAGCAAACCGATCTTGCAAACTCGTTAATTCTGTCCTCCTTTCGGAGAAAAAAGCTTGCTAATAGCAAAAAAAGAGATTTTCTAAAAAAACTAACCAGTTTTCAAGTACTTGCTAGGGTCTTAAGGCAATTCGGGGCACCATTTAGCTTTGTCTGATAGAACCTTCTGACGGTTGAATCTAGGTGGACTTATACATTAAATTGGGGCAAATGGCCCCTTGAATTCATGCATTATTCTGCTGCAATTCGCGCACGTGATATTTTATCTTTGCGGGAGCTTCAGGTCCGGGCTTCTCCGCTCAAAGTAATGTTAAGAAAATTGGATTCAAGCTTATGATCCAAGCCACCTGTTGGCAAGATAATGTCGAAAAACAAATTTCTTTTCTTCCGAACCGTAGTCGATCATTGGTTTTCTCCGTGAAAGATTCTGGTATTCCATGAAACTTAGGGCTCTCGATCCCAACCTTATTGGCAGGATATGGAGGTTCCAAAGTTAATGGTCAGATTTGATTTCAAGGCGGTCCATATGCCAAGCCAGTTTTACGGATGCAAAGGACTTCTTCAAAGAATAAAATTTCCAGACCCCACCCAACCCGCGGCTAATCAAATTGTAGGGCAAGTTTCTGATCTTTCCGAAGCCTGGTGAGACCATACTTGAAGGCACGATCATTGTCACCCAAGAATTACAGAACTGTCTTTGCAATGCTTCATCCCCATCACATGAAGGATTAAGAAATAGGAACCAACTCCACCGGATGGTTCAGGTATTTTCGCACTACAACTCATGTTGGCATCCTCAGAGTTCTTTCCTTCTCCATGGTGAGACAACAAAACGTTTTCTTACAGGAAATTGTTCTAATTGTGTTTCCTAAGGTCTTAGGAAAACCTTATTTTTCTGTTCTTGGGGGAATTTTGGTTTTAAGGGCTTAACAATGTCCCTCTATTTGAGTTTTCTTTGATTGTTTTCATTGTCAAAGGAATCTCAACACGGGGGAATCATCAACAAAAGGGGGGCAAATTAAAAAATTGCTTTGTATCGACTGTCTTTGGTTAAATCAAGTGCGTTCGTTGTCTTCAATGGTTGGCCAAATGTTGTGTTCGGATCTCGTTGGCTCTGGCATTCAAGGCGGATGTAGGTCATCCTGCTAGGCTAAAGCAATGTGTCAGTCAAATTTTGGGTTCTTCATTTAATTTTGGTTCTTACAATTTTTATGATCTGTCTTAATTGGATTGAAAATTCATGTCGTTAATAAGAATTCATAAGACTCGCCGTCTCTGGAAACTGTCTACTCCTTTCTATAGTTCTCGGTCCCTTTGGAAAATATTATATTCGGGATTATTGGGGGGACCGCACCAGTTGAATCATTGATGTGTTAAAGTTACCTATTTTATAATGATTGATCTTGATACTAAGTATGGTTTGGTTTCTATCCTACTCGGCTAATGCTGTTGTTGCTTTGATTTTTCCAAGCATTTTCAACATTAGTTGAAGAATTTGTATTAAAAAACCAGAAAATAGGTTTCTATCTATACTAGATGTGTGGTGATTCTTGCTCCTCAAAAACAATTTCGGACAAATTGGAATTCAAACCACTTGCAAAACACCTCCATACACCGTCGCAGCTAATGGTCGCAGAAGCGTCGTTCATCGCCCACTTTAAGGTAGAAACACAGGTCCTCAACTCTCTTCAAGTCCCGGCTTCCCTACGCCTATCCAATTTGGGGTCATATGCATTTTTAGCAGCAACATATTGATCAATCGGTTGCCTTACCACCCTATTTTAAAACATGAAACTCTTTTCCTTTTCTAAACTTTTCATAAAGATCCACAAAATCTTTACTTAAGGTTAAAAGTGTTTGTAATGGCCTCTTGCTTAATCCCTTTTCTTATAAGCCTTATCAATAAAAAACCAATAAATTCGAAACAAAAAGTCCAAAAGCCTCTGTATTTGTAGAAGATATTCAATTTAAACAGAGTGCTTATATGTAGGTATGGAACCCCAACCCAACAGCCGGTTTATATTTTTCAACCGGGCATGTATCTATTTATGCGCGTGAAGGAAATAACGTTTCCTCGAGACCACAACAACATTGGTCTTCGGTACGAAATCTTGTGAGTAAAGAAATGAGACTTGGGGCTTTGTGTGAGATAGTGTATGATTATCATAGGGGGGGCCTTTGATCTGAAACAGTTTACCGTTCCATCAAATAATAAGAAAACTCCCCCTTCTCAATTCTGGATATTGGTCTTATGTCGGTGATGCCGGTATTTCAAGTTTCTTAGGGATTTTTGGGTCTTTCTACACCGAATTGTAGGCATCTTCCCATTATTTTCGATTTTCCCTGTCTTTCTCCCATCGCTTATCAGATTATCTTCTCTAAATTTCTTAGTTCAAACCTCTTCTCAAACCACAGTATTCTGCAGTACAAAACTTCGAGTTCTGCGCGGTCCATGGGAAGAGTCCATGTTTCGTTCCCTAGTTCGTCTCCTGCGAAGCGCTTGTGCGTCTTCTGTGTCTACAATGTCTGTTGAGTCTCTAAATTCTTTTCTATTGTGGTCTTCCCGTTGAGTCTTGGGTCTTCTGAATTTCGTTTCTACGGTTCATGTTCTACTCATTTCCTGATGGTCCACGACATGTGCTCCAAAATAATTATCTTTAAGCCGAAGAATTTGTTCATTCTTGTTAGTAAACATCCCTACCCCGAATCTGTAGAGCCAACTCGATTTCTCTAAGCGTACGAAAACCAGAGTGGCTGAAGCTATGTCTGTTGAGTTTAATGCATAAGCTAATGCACCTTGAGGTCTTGTTCCACCAAATTCTATTATTATTTAAATCTGGGTTGTAATGGATTTCAGGGTTAAGCGTAATGGGATGGCTCTGTGGCTAAGTATAAAGCCCGCTTAGTTGCTAAAAGGTAATAATCAACCGCCCCTGAGTGTGATTTTTGAAGAAAACTTTTTAGGCGCCATTGCTGAAGCCAAGCAACGATTTCGGATATAACTTCAAACCCCCTTGCTAGGACTAATTAAATGGATATGTAATTAATGTGAATAATGCGTTTTTAACCCATAAAGTTCCTTTGCAGAGTGAAGCATTAATGCAGCCAAACCTCCCAGGTTTTTGTCAAGGTTCCAAGGGGAACAAGCCAAATATTGCTTTGGGCAAATGGTTAAAGCCTTGTATTGCTTCGTCAAAAGCGCCGAGAAGCATTGGTATCAAGCCCTCCGTCTGTGCAGTTGGAAGTTTGGTTTCTGCGTCCAAGAAGTATCATTCTTTGTTATTCTTCATTAAGGATCAGGTTTGTTGCTATTTCCTATTTATGTTGATGATCTTGTTATTTTTGGATTAGGGAAATTCTCACTCCATTATTCAGCGCAATGTATTGGGTACTATGAAATAAAATTTCTCTTAAAGATTCCACAACAGTTTTAAATTTTGTTTCTGGATGATATCCAGCAAAACACTGCTGGATGTTCTTAAACGCGGCATTCTTATATCGGAAATTGCTACTTGCTGGGAATCATGAAGGAGCCAAGCCTATATCTCGCACGCATCTCTTTACTATACTTCTCTTGTAAAGAATACAAAATCAGAGTTGGGCGTTGGATGTCAAGAATTATGCAAGCTTGTTGGTGGCGTTACAATATCTTCACTTGGACCCGGCCGAACATTTGTTTAAGTAAATGAGTAAGCTATTCTCAGTTATGCAAGTCCAACAAAACTATTTCATTAGATGCTTTTAAAAAAACATTACTCTCGATATCCTCATTAACGTGATTTATGGATACTAAATACAGTCACAAACTTCCTTGTTCTTCAGCCTTTTTTTTTTATGCCAATCGGGGACCCGACTACAGAACCGTCAACAACGATTTATTCTAATCTTAGCACCACTCCAATTCTGGACCTCTCACAAGAGAAATCGTTGCGCGAAAGGCCTAACAGAAGGCCGAATAATAAGGGCTTCGCCCCACAGGCTTTGAGTTTATTGTGGCATATTCTTTACTAGCTGAAACTTGTATTAACAAAAGCTGTGTCTATGCCTGTCAATTTATTGCGATATGTTGTTCTACCACTTTGCATGCCAGAACCTATGTGATCATTCCCGTATGAAACACATTAGATTGATTTATACTTTGGCGTATTTATTCAGAAAGGCAAGCTTCCGAATAAGTCATGATCATCCCAAAAAGATCATAATGCAACTTGGTTAACAAATCGTTGTCCAAGACTTGTAACCAAAACCGTTGTCCAAGAAACATCTTATGCAGCTAACATTTCAAATTGGTGTACAAAACCGTTGCCAAGACCATCTTGCAGCTAATCGATTCAAGATTTGGTGTACGCGACCACAAATCTTGCAGGGGAGTGGGAAGATTGGAGTTATCAAGCTAACAAACAATTTTAATCTCTTTAATTTGGTAAACTGTTAATTCGAAAAATTGTGTTATCTTGTACAAGCTGAAGTTGTTAACCTGTTTATAGAACCTGTATAGTTTGAGAATAATAAAATTAATTCCTTCAACATGTTATTTTAGGACTAAGTGGTGGAGGCTTTACCTCTGGAATTAGTGAACAAATGATAGGTGCCGGTCCTTGTCTCCAATTTAAACCCAGATGTAAGTCATGCTTTACCCTTTTGTTTGAAAATTATTTTGATTTATTCATTGGTTTACTCACGATCCAAAATATTTCACTCATCAGAGAAACAATTGAGATTAAGCTTTCAACCTTTTTCCCTCTATTGAATAATGTGAGGATTAAACTTCTCCGAATAAACCGATCATGGCACTTGTTCAAATGGCGAGTTCAGCTGACATTGGCAGGATTTTTTTGAAGGTTTGTCACAAAAAAAAGCTTTCTCTACCTATATTACATTGTGGAATAGGGGAAAGAAAATTTGAATATGCTATCTCAAATTAGTGTTTGGAAAAAAGCTCTCTAAATTTAAACATTATTTTTCCCCATTCACCTTCATTGGTGAAAAGCTGATTCCTTAGGTCTGTCGCCTTTCATTTCAATTGTCATTTACTAGGTATACAATGTCCATTGGACTAATGCGGTTGCAACTTGGTGTCCCTTTCTATCTCAAGTGTGAGGTTCCTTTATGTGTGGAAGCTTTACCTTGAACACTTGTTTTACAATGTGGAGCAGGGCGCAATGCTTTTCGGGAAGCGATTGGAGGTGAACTTTTCAAAGTATCCAAATATAACTCAAGGTGCTGACACACATGAATATGTGAACTCTAATCTCAATCGCTTCAATCGAAATGCTGCAAAGAACTATAAGTACTGTTGCTCACCAACAAAGATGATCCACCTTCCCACTCTCCCTCAAGACATAACAGAAGAGGAGATTGTTAGCCTCTTAGAGGAGCATGGCACTGTTGTCAACAGCAGGCTTTTTGAGATGAACGGTAAAAAACAAGCCCTTGTTTTATTTGAGACTTCTAATCTCAATCGCTTCAATCGAAATGCTGCAAAGAACTATAAGTACTGCTGCTCACCAACAAAGATGATCCACCTTTCCACTCTCCCTCAAGACATAACAGAAGAGGAGATTGTTAGCCTCTTAGAGGAGCATGGCACTGTTGTCAACAGCAGGCTTTTTGAGATGAACGGCAAAAAACAAGCCCTTGTTTTATTTGAGACTGAGGAGCAGGCCACTGAAGCACTTGCTTGTAAGCATGCCATCTCGCTTGCCGGGTCAATAATCCGGATTTCCTTCTCTCAGCTACAATCAATTAGAGAAACCTCCTAAATATAATAAGGGAAAGGGTTGACAAATGGTAATACATTTTTAAGGATTTGGTACTCAGTAGATTTGTTGGTGATGCTCTTTTGCGATTTTTTTGCGATGCTTCTCTTCTCCTGTAACATTTCAATGCTCTTGATACTGATGGATTGCTATTTTGTTTTTTGTTTTTTCTTTTTCATTTATCGTTCTTCTCATTCTGCTAATATTTGTACCAATTATTTATTCGGTTTGTTGAATTTGAGGACTCTTAAGTAGATCTTCCTTGTTTGCAGATATGCTCAGTTTTGAAGAGTAGGAAAGGGGGAGGGAATGTATAAATTTAATTGAATTCCTTTTCTAGTATCATTGTTGTTATATATTTGCCTGTAATTCTGGCTAATTGAATTTAATCCATAACCCAAATTGTTCTCTTCCTCAAAGAGCTACTTTTTTTTTTTCTCTCTCCCTCTGTTTCTCTCCCTCTGTTCACTTCGTTTCTGCTTCTTCCACTGCCTCTCTCTCTCTCTCTCTCTCTCTCTCTCTTCCACGCCCTTCCCTCTAGTGTTGAAGTTAATTCAGTGGTTTCTGCCTCTTGCAAACATTATACTGGTATGATTTTAGTGGGGAAAAAAAAAAAAAAAAACTAAATCGACGATTTTTTATTGTTTTTACTATTGAATTAATAGAAATCCAGTGATACCATTGTGTTATAAAACAATTTCAAAAGAACTCATATTATGAGTAAAAGAATTCATATTATGAGTATTAGAGTCTGTTCCATAATATTTGTTGTTTTCGTAGCTATTAATTGATTTAGTAGCATAATATTTTATAAAATGTTGATTTATATGAATTAATTTTTTATAAAATTAATTCATGAATTCTATATAATGTGATGTTTTTAGCAAGGATAAGTTGTATTATAAGGTCTCAAAGTTGTATTATAAGGTCTCAAATATCTTCTTTGATTAAATAGAAAATTAAATCTAATGTGATAAAAATAAAAGAATTTTGAATTTAAAAAATTTTATATTCTCTAATTAGAAATTGATTTTATTAATTATATTTATTATATAATTAATACAATATTACAATTAACATAATGAATATTACCATAATAATTTTTCTCACTTATATAATTTATGTAAAGAGTAGGTCTTCAGTTCGAATTCTTTTGATCACAATAGTTTTAATTAATTTGATTACATTAGTTTTAATTAATTTGATGAGTTAGAAGGGAGTGTTATTGTGTAGTCCATAGTATCATTTCTACCCATTGGCCTCCCAATGAATTATAAAAATATTAACATAATAATAATTAAACATAATAATAATATATATAATAAATAATATTAAATTAATAAATAATGAATGTAAAGTGTCTAATAACGAAATTTTTCATTATCAGACCTGTAAATTTTCATTATCAGACTGTAGCAAATGGTACAAACAGTAATTAAACTCATTTGCACTATTACATTAGAATTAAAATTATATATCTATTGATATACAGCAACCAGCCCCAATTAATGTTGCATCAGCGGCACCAGATTCTAGTGTGAAGAAACAGAGCGGATGAGCAAAAACCAAAGAGAAGAAAAGGAAGTTAGTACAATTCTAAAATTATTTATCATTTTAAAAATATAGTATGAAGCATAGTTATTAAAGCCTAACTAGTTAAATTTAAACAGGAAGAGTAAGACTAAATCTTACCTTGATTTGCTGCAATTTCTTCATGTATATTACTGTTCTTACATAAATCCAATCTTTCAAATCATCCACGAACTTAAAAAAAGCATGTCTATAAGAACGCTTTAACAATAAAACGCCAGAAACACCCCAAAAGCCTACGGCGAATCCAACTCCCATACCAAGGTAAAGCGATTTGTTGAATTCATCTTCTTGATTATCATGATCATCATGACTGGATGGAGAATCTTGAATATTGTCTTCTGGACATTTTTGTGGAAGTGGAGACCCACAAAGTGCTGGATTATTACTATATGTAGAAGCATTAAAGGTCTGCAGTTGAGTACCCGATGGAATTTTTCCAAGAAAATTATTATGTGACAAATTCAAGGTATTCAAAAAATTTAAATTAGAGATGCTTGCAGGAAGTCTGCCTGATAGTTGATTTTGAGACAGATCAAGCGACTCTAATTGCTTCAAGCCATCAATTTCTTTAGGAATTGCACCACTCAACTTGTTATTGGACAAGTTCAATTGCCTAAGACTTGAGAGGATTGCTATTTCTCTTGGAATCTCTCCTTCTATTTTGTTACTTGAAAGATAAGACTTGAGAGGATTGCTATTTCTCTTGGAATCTCTCCTTCTATTTTGTTACTTGAAAGATCAATTATCCTAAATCGTCCAAGATTTTTATCTAATATATACTCTGAGCCCTTCCAAAGAACCAACGCCTTGTCATAATATGTAGATTCAATTGTAGGCATGCCAATCATTGGACGGCCATAGTCATGGAGAATGGTCTCATTAGAATTCTCATCAATCATGGCTCTTAAATTGTTCAAGCAATGTGGTATGGTTCCATTGATATTGTTTATAGAGAGATCTAATATCTGAACATTTGTCAATTGGCAAAACTGTAAGGGCATGCTTCCAGAGAATTGGTTGGATCGTAGGCTAATATATTGCAAAGATGATAAGCTTTTTCCAAACCAAATAGGTACATTACCAGACAATTTGTTACCACTTAGGTCAATGAATTTCAAATTAGTGCAATTCCTTAAAGAAAAAGGCAACTCTCCTGATAATTTATTATTTTTTAAATTTAGTGTTTGAAGTTTAAAAAGGAATCCAATAGAAGAAGGAATTTTGCTAGACAAATCATTGTTAACCAAATTCAAGAACACTAAATTTTGAAAATTTTGCATATGCATACGAGGAATTACTCCAGAAAATTGATTATTCGAAAGGTCTAAGTGCATAGGTAACTCAGATTTTGAAAGAAAAGGTAATGGACCAATGAAACAATTATAACTCATATCTATAATAGAGAAATAATTAGTCTCAACAAGAATATTTGGCACTGTTCCACTCAAATTATTATAGGAGATATTTAAATAAAAATAAAGTGAAGACAAACCCCAAAACCAGTTAGGAACAAAATCAGAAATTCCAGCATTTGAAATATCAAGCGCAAAATAATTATTTAGACTATGAAGCCATTTTGGGAAATGAGGCCCAATCTTGCAAGATGCAAGAATGATATTTGCTAAGCTGGAAGGGGGAACCCAGTTGACACTTATATTCAAAATTAGAGAATTACCTGATAAATCCAACAAAACTAATTCTGACATATTTGAGAAATGATGTTCGGAGATAACACCACTCAATGAATTCGAGCTGATGTTAAATTCTTCGAGTTGAGACAGACATCCAATGCTTTTACTTATGGTCCCATTCAAATGATTGTTTTCGAGAAATAAATATCTTAAAGATGAAAATCTTGCAATATCATCAGGCAATGAACCTCCTATTTGATTGTGGTCCAAAGATAATGCATCTAAAGATCTCTCAGTAAATCCGGATAGATTTTGGATCAAGTCAAAAAGTTTCATGTTGAACTTGTTAAATGACAGGTCTAGAGAGTGCAATTGAGACATGTTCCCAAAGGATTTTGGAATATAGGCCCCAACTGTAGTATTAAAGAGAGAAAGATATTGAAGAGAAATCATTTTATCAAAATCAGCAAGAGCTGAACCATATAAAATGTTAGAAGAAAGATCAAGATATTGGATATTCTGGGAGATGTTAGACAACCATGGGTATATTGAAGGAATCACAAAGTTGTTGTCAAAGAGAGAGATGTCTGTAAGAGCGGAAGAAGAATTGATAGGTCAAGATATTGGATATTCTGGGAGATGTTAGACAACCATGGGTATATTGGAAGGAATCACAAATCACAAAGTTGTTGTCAAAGAGAGAGATGTCTGTAAGAGCGGAAGAAGAATTGATAGGGGAAAGTGGCAGAGTATTAATCTCATCTCCAGAAAAGCAAGAGTCTAGCCGTAATGATTGAAGGTGAATGAGCTTATAATTGTTAACTATCTGCAACCAATGGTTGGGGTTAACCAGTGGAATTCCACTTAGATCAAGTTTAGTTAAAGAGGAAAGACCAGAAACCCAATCGCTGTTTCCAATATCAATAAAATGATTACAACTCAGATCAAGAAATTGCAAGCTAGACAGATTCCTCAGTACAGAAGACATAGTTCCACCGAAATTAGCATATGAGAGATCTAAGTATCTCAACTTGGCGAGAGAGCCATTTTTATCAATTGGAAATCAATTGGAAACTGAGTGCCACCAAAATCAGTAGCAGATAAATCCAATTTAGTCAGATGTCTCAGATCAAGCAAGGAATGGCTCATCTTACTTCCCAAATCCATGCTCATAAGATAAAGCTCTGTAACATGACCTGTTCGGCTGCTGCAAGTGATGCCAGTCCATTTGCAACAATCTCTTTTGTCTTCTTCACTTCCCCAAGAAGAGAGCTGACCATCGTAGTTTATAAGGCCACGTTTTATGCTAAGGAGTGCTTCTCTCTCCCTCTCTTTGCACAGAACAGAATCATTTCGGACTGCAGAAGCTATTAGGAAGTGCATTAGAAAGAGAAGAAGAGCAACAAACACAGAGAAAGGTTGAAGATGCGTTATCACCATGATTACAATTTAGTATGTTTTGTAATAAATGACTGCCCTTTATTTATGGATAAAAAAGTAAAGGACTATTAATAAATAATTAATTAATTAAAGTAAATTAGAATGCCTTTGAGACAGCAAACTATCAAATCAAACCCACTATAACTCGTGTAATATATAATAGAGCAACATATAAATTTACATATAAATTTTACCTTCTAATAAAAATAGAAAAATCAATTTCCACTGGCAAAATTTTAGAAAATGCTTTTAAACCAGTAATTAATAATAATAATAATAATATAATAATAAATAATAATATACTTAATTAAGTAGACGCTATTTCATCCATTTTATTTTAAGTTGTCACTTTTAAAATATATTAGAAAAGCTTAATTTTTCTAATTTGTCATTGTCAAATTTTTATTTTTTAGATTAGCTTTCCTATTTAAATCAAATTATTATATATTTTATTGATTTTAAAAATTATTATATTACAATTAGTAAATTTTATAATAATTACATTATAATTAACAATGTTTAAGGAGTTAGTTATTTTATTGTACAAGAAGTTTTTTAATTAATATGTAGAATTATATATGTAGAATTAGGCTCCCTTTATTTCCCTTTAGACCATCGGCCACCACCACTGATCATGGAACACTTTCATAATTTACTTTTTTTTTACATTTTTCTCATAGAACAATAAAATTTTTAAAATAAAAATTTATATTATTTTTATTTTTATTTTTATGGTCTTATGAATTACAAATTTTAATATTTTAATATTTTTTTACCATTTTCAAAATTGAATCCAAACAATGAAAAATAAATCATTTTAGAAAATATAGAAAATATAAAATATTTTTCAAAAATATGTTATTTTCCAAAAATAAATAGAATCTTATAATGATATTAGGACTAAATTAAATGCATAGATATCAAAATTAGAAGGTAGATTCGAACGTCAACTGTCTAAGTCTTTGCATGTATTTGGTGTTTCCAACTGTAAGTTTTATATGTAGACTTACTTTTAGAATTGGTTAGTTAGATGAAAAAGAAAATTGAATTTAAAATATAATTAAAATTACCTATAAAATTTAAAATTTTTTTAGTAATTTAGCCTTTCATTTTAGACTATCCCTCTATTATTATCCTTTTGCATGTACAAAACAAATCGGCATAATATAGAAAATGACCACCAAAGGCCTACAAGAGTCTAAGTCCATATTTATAGACTTGTAGTGATAGGAAAATAGAAAAAATGGATAGTATCTAAATCGTAAGTCCAAAGTCTTTTTGCCGTATAATATTCCTCAAAGAAAAAATAATAATAATTTCTTGATTCTGGACCACGTTTTATGAAAATTATTCAGATTTTCACACATATACCATGAGTTTGTAGGGATGGCAAAATCAACCTCATTCAGTGGATATAAATCTAACCATAACCCAATCAAATTCAAATTTTAAGATTTTGACTGGATTTGAGTAGCGCATGGACAAAGCTTAAAAATTTTATTTTGAATATGGGTAGAGTAATGGTATTGCTATTATAAAACCGAACACGACCCGTACGAAATTCAAACCCTAATAGATTTAAAAATTTATTATTTTTTAAAAATTATAATATGAAAATTTTAACAAATTGAGTTATCTGTAGTAAATTATCTATATAAATTATAATTTTACTTTTAATTTAATGTAATATAACTTCATTCTAGTTTTCATATATCAATATATTAATTTGAATTGGTCAAAATTTTTAAAATATTGGTCAAATTTTTAAAATTTTAAATTTTTAAATTTAAAATTTAATTTCTAATATTTCATTTAAACTTCAATTTCAAATAATAGAGAAAAATCATAGTGATAATAGTTATTTGGAGTGTTCAGATAATAATATTTTATGTATAGTGATTTTTTTTTGTGTGTAAACCATTGGTATCCTGACCTCATTATCAAAGACTGCCTAGTTCGATTCGAGGCTTAGTCACAGTTAATGCTCTTCACCCCTCCTTGTAGGTGTGTTTAGCAGAGATTTGATCCGAAAGCTCTTCCCACATACCTAACCTGCTTTGCCAACTATACCACAACACATAGTTTATATATAGTGATTTTGTTGCATGAGTTTTTTAGTTATTCTATTAATTGATTTAATTGGGATTATTTGCTTATAATTAATTTGAGATAAGTCCTGCTATCATGCATTTGAGTAAGGTATTATGATAAGAATAACCATTTGAAATTAAAATTTTGAATTTTATCATTCTTCAACTTTTTTAATTTAATTCATACTTTTTATATATTATCTAAATCATTTAGATAAATACTTTAATTTTTTAATTCAATATAATTTAATTTTTAAACAATATAAATGAGTGGATAAATGGTATCCGTGGATAATGGATATCTATGAGTTTGAGTTATATCTACAACTCTTAGTTAGACCAGTATAACTAACAGGAAGAATTAAAAATGACAAGAAAATTGCTCATGAATAAAAATTCTTAAAGGGAGATAATGAATAATTTACTACTTTTTTTTTAAAGGAAAAAAAAAACTAAATATGCCCTTTTTTCAAATAATAAATTTGACCTTTTATTTTAATTTTTGCTTAATACGTCTTCTCACCCTGAATTTTATATTATGTTATTTATATTATGTTGAATTTACTCTTATTTTGATGTTTATGTCAATTTCATTCTCAATTTTTGATATTCTCAACCCTGAATTTTATATTAATGTTGCAATTTTCACCTTTATTTATGTCAATTTCATTTCTCAATTTTGATATTTTGGTTGCAATAATCTTCAAATTTTAATTTAGAATTTAAAATTATCAAATAAAAAGATACATTAATATAGAATCCACTCTTGACTTTAAGGTTAACTTAAATTCAATTTTTTTACTCATATGAATTTATTAAGTTTGATTTGTGTCTTGCTATTTGTTTTTCCCATTCTATAATTATAACTATTTAAATTGATTATTATATATTTTTATATTCTATTTTGATAAAAAGTTATTTATAATTTTGAATAGTTTATGATTTAAATAATTTCATAGTAGCTTTTTTTTTTTAGCTTTTATAATTATTTCAAAAATTACATTAAAAATCAAACAGTAATAATAATAAGTTTATTGTTTAAGAAGTACTCTAATTTTTTTAAAAGGTGATGTCTATGTATCACAAAATGCATTTTTATCTATTACTTATTAGCAATTAAATAAAAAATTTAAAAATATTAAAAAATGATAATAGTGATTTTCCTTACTATTTAACCCAATCTTCCACACTTAAATAAATATATTAAATTAATCAAAACCTAAATTTAAGAGTGAACTCTATCGTAATATATTTTTATTTGCAATTTAAATCTTACTTGTATTTAGGGTGTTATTGTAACAGGAGGTCAACAGGAGGTCAAAATTCATGGTGAAATTGATATAAAGGTTAAATTGGAGTGAAAATGTAATAAAACACAAAGTTCATAGTGAAATAATATATGAAGCCTTTAATTTTTTACCGTAACATTTACCTTTATTATGACTTAAAATAACAATAGTCTCATAAAATATAATTTTGAAAATCATGTAAATGTTATAATATAATGGGAAAAGTAGGGAGAGAAGTAGAGAGATAACATATAAAAAATTTTGAACATCGTTCTTATGAGAAGCCATATACATATATAGACACATAAGGTACCCTAATTAGGAAATAGACTTGTAATTTATATATATCTTTGGAGTATTTAGGAATATAGACTTCTAATATATATACATCATCCACTAATTTGATAACGCTCCTAGTTGGATATCCATTATTCGAAAAAATATGTCCCGTTAACATCTTATTAAGAAAAAATGCTATTTAACATCTTATTAAGAAAAAATGCTATGAAAAAAGATCTTTGTGAAGGAAAAATAATGTATTTTTTTTCTTAAATACGTAATGAAATATTGTGTCATGCAAAACTTTTTTACCAAGAAAATTCAAAAAATCTTGGTTAAAAGAAAAAAAGTTTTCTTTTTATCATTAATGTTGATTTTATTTTATTTATATATGTCCAGGAAAAACTTAATATATCCAAGCACTAATCCTAGCTGATAGGCACCCTTTTACACCCAATCCTAACTTAATATTAGGTAAAAAAATATGGTCAAAACCTCTTAAATGAAAAGATACAATAGACTCCATAAATGAGCCACACAAATATTCCAAACAAAGTTCCATATAGAATTACACCTATATTGGATTAGAATAAACCAAACATAAATAATTTGCATTTACAATAAATCTAAACTTGAAATACAAGCATTTCTTGATGTGAGAAATGATAGTAAGCTAGCATAAAACTTTGAAGAAATTTGCGAAAACGCTTGTTGAAAGCTCTTACAATCATCATAAGATCCAAGCCAAGAATTGATTTGTTGCCTCAACCCCCTTCTTTGACAAATAATCTGCAAACTGATTACATGCTCTGTTAATATATCTGAACTCCACTTGACTCATTTGAGATTTTATGAAATCAAATTTGTTGAATCTTTTCTGTCAACACCAAGGCCGTTTTTGTTTTTTATAAAATCCAACAAAGAGCATTTCGAG